TTCCATGTTAATTAAACATATAAATACAAGATGAGTTGAATTGTCTTGTGAAGTTTTAAAAGACATGCAATTTCAGCTGCAGACAACTAAAATGTACTTTGTTTTGCTTTTGTATCTGTATGTGCCTTTGAGCTGTGTGAATTGCTAAATCAGTGCTACTAACAGCAATGAGAAAATGCCTAACGTAAGCACATGTCATCCCTTGAACAGCAGTTGATTACAGCTTGGAATATGTCTTGTAACTTTCAATTACACAAGCCAATAAACTATTGCTATCCAACACCACCCTACCCTTACGTAACCTGACAGCTGTAACACTTTGGCAGCAGACAGTGTTTTGTTTGCTTGCATGATTATAACCTCAGGGCAATAACTGCACCTGGGTATATGACACACTCTCAGGGCACTTTTATAGCAGAAACTCTGCTTTGCAAAGCTGGTTAAGAGCATAATTTTACTGAGAGCTTTTCTGTCACATTTTGGTATTAGTTAAAACCCTTGGGGAAGTAATGGAAACAAGAGTATTACTTTCCCTGTTTCAACTGCATCTATTCTATCAGGACTTGCTTGTTAAATCTCAATCACTACATCTTTTTGGTACAGTTTATTTCTAAGACAGTAGAAATCTTCCCACAACCTTGCAGTTTCTGAACACAACTGCCTTGCAGTGGGAAGTCTTTATAAATTAACTAAACTTAATGTATTTTAATATGCATAGCAGAAAAAAAATATATCAGATTCCCATGTCCATCAAAGGAGGAATACATATATATATTAAAAAACACCCAAGTTAAAAAAGTAATTAAGTTTGCACAAGATAAAACTAGTCACATCCCAGAAACGCTATGATTCAGATCACTTATACTTGCAGAGAAGCAAGAGATTTCAGACTATAGATATCATTTGAGAACTTCCATAGAGTGTTACATCCTTACTCGGCAAAGCACTTAGGCATTAATTTAAAAAAAAAACACAACAGGTTTTCAAAGACACAAATTCATCTCTAGCAGAAACAGATCTTCTAGTCTATCTTAAACTAAAGCCTTTTATAGCTTTGAAAATCTGTCCTACCAACTTTAAGACTTTAAAAGGACCTAAACATGTGCCTGAAGCTAAGCACAGAGCTCTTATCCTTTTCCCTAGAACACACCCAGCTCTCAGTTTTTGCAGAAAGCCAGCTAAGTATGACAAAGGGAGAATTAACACTTCGAAGTGTAAGTAACCAGTTATTTTTACATCTGTCTGAACAATAAAGCTAAAATATCTGCCTTATTTCACCAGGATTTGCCCTAACATCTCTTCTTTGCCTTGGTCCATAACTCTCAGATTTTCACTTTTGTTGCCCTGAGTCTTGATTCTTTTTGCATAGCTCTGGATTATTCTGCCTGTTCCAAACTTCTCTCTCATTTATTGTATCCACTTTAAATAAACAATATTAAGGTCTAACAGTTCATATTTTGATAGAGCAATATATGATATCAAGGCAGCATAAAATAGTAACACACATTCTAACCTCCAGAGAGTTGTCTCATTCCAGAGTTTCAGTATTAAATATTAAAAGCTTTTTAAACTATCTTTTGTAACTTTCACAGTAATGTTTTCATTGCTTATAACAACAACTGGGAAATGAAAACTTACCACACAGAATTAATTCCCTCTTCATTTTCAGATGGAGAGATTTGTTGTAGAGCCTGTGGGATCTTGTTCAGGATACAAGTTCTGATCTGTATCCCACAATTATACTCGAAAACTGTTTTCTGGGGTGAGAAAAGTCCTTCTTAGCAGACATTATTCCTGGTCACAAAGTAGGGGAAAATAAAGAGTGAATGTTCATTGCAGCACAGGTAACAATGCGACACACATCACTCATCTCAAATTCTAGCATTTTTTCAATATTTAATAACATTTTCAGCTATACCTGGACATCAACAGGAGTAGCAAAGTAACATTTGACAGACGTGCTCATGGTTTTGCATTTCTGTTTTAACACAGGCACTTGGCTGTGGCTGTGTGGGCCAGGCTGTTCTTAGCCGAGGAGCACACGGTGGGCCCATGACAATATCAGTTGGATTCGCAATGGCAGTCACCATAGCAGTGTATGTGTCTGGGGGGGTTTCTGGTAAGAGACTTTTTTTTCTTATATAGCATATATTGCCACAGTTTTAAGGCTACCTTATTAAATTACTTCTATTTCATGACATAAACGATTCTGTATCTAGCAATAACATGCATCATGATACCAGCGTCTGCATCAGAGTTTTGCTAGTACATCTTTCATGTTCTTGTTTCCTTCTGCTCTTTGCATTTCACAACTTCTTCCTTTAAACTCTGATCTGAACTACAATGTGCAAGCCTTGGCAAACTGCTGGCCTGCATGGAAAATGGTCTGTACAAAAGAGAAATCTGCTTGGTCTTGCTTGGAAAATTCTGTCAGTCAACAGAGACAACCAACACAGGCACTGTGTTTAAGCAAATAACCATAAAAACACACAGAATCCAGCAGTCACCAGCTCAAACAGCTGCCAGCTAGGTAGAAGGCAGAACAACCTACTAGTGGGTATAATGAGCAGGATTTGACTTAAGAGTACAATTTATCCCTCCATGTCCTATGGCAGGCAGTAGCAAGTCTGCTCCTGCTTGTTTGCTTATTCATAGAAGCAGCAGATCACAAACAGCAGAAAAAACAAAAAGATCAGTACTAGAGATGTGTTCTGTGACACACTACCAATGCACTGGCAGTGCCTCTTTGTTTTTGCTACAGCATTTCCTCATTATATATTGGCCAGGAATCTCTCTTTGTCTGTAGCTGGGCTAACTAACCAGTGTGTCTACATGTGACATATTGGGTGGTGTTTGGCTCCAACTTCCACCATTCAGTTGGGCCAAGCTAATACCAGAAACATTAGCGTAACTGCTTTTAACATTTAAATTCTCCCTGTAAAGTGGAAAACAATGGATGTAATAATACATAATATTATGTGTTATAATATACAATACTGTGTTGTATGTGGTGCATATATTGCCCTCCTAAAGCAAATAGTGTCCTTTTACTCTGGTTCTCCTAGAGGAATTTCTTATCATTCATAAAGAGGGTAAAGTCGATCTGAGCAGGTATCTCTAGGTATAATTAGGCCATTATAAATAGCTGCTATAGCAGAAATTACTATGGGTGTTTCTCTTCTCTTTTACACATTATTTTACAGAGACACCAGGCATGAAAAGGTAAGCTCACATCAGAAAGTGCTCAAGGTACTGCAAAACAGTCAGTCTTGTTACTGTCATGGAAACAGAGTAGAATAGCTCATACCTCACATCAATGTGGTAGTACATTCCTATTCTCTGAACAACTTTAAGCTTCAGCTCTTAGTTTACATGGAGGCAGGAAAACTCTTCTAATGTAATACCATGGAAAAAAAACTGTCAAGACATTAACCTGTGCTATATTTGCATCTTTAAGGGATACTAAACTCTATTATGAGTTCAGTCCCAGCAGGGCAGAGCAGTTGCAGATGTTGCAGGGTTCTGCTTCCTGTGCTCTTCCCATGACAAAGGACTCTGCACGCGGTGCATTTTCTCTGTGAAAGAATAGAAACATATTTCAATAGGATGCGACTATCCAACATCTAATTACTAGTGGACACTTTAACATATCAGTTCCTATACAGAATTTGTTAGGAAATTTTGAGGCTCTTTGGCCATTATATCTCATGTTTAAGTACTGCTAAGATATTTTGCATCAGTTCTTTATGAAATTCTGAATTCACGGTAACATAAAACATACTCAGTGAATTTGAGCTCTTCCATCTAGGAAAATCCCCCTTTTTGCTTTTCTTCAATCTAATTTTCCTCAATGTCTAGATAATATCCCACCATTTTTTCCAACTTACCATTAAAGAAAATATATATTAAAAAAATCATTACCAGGACCACTGGAACTACAAAAGAATAGGGAACACACTGTCCAGAGAAGACTTTCTAAAAAAATCCCACAAAAAAGGAAACTACCAGTGGCACAGGAACCAAGAATGCTTTAACACCCTTACGCCAGCATGAGAGCCCTCAACTGGACTTTTCCTTTCCAGATTTAATGTTGATCAGACAACTCTAATATTACTATGACTTGCCCTGACCATCATCATAATCAGCCTGTATTATACACAGGTGGGGGAAAATATCAGGTGTTGAAAGAAGGGAAAATTATTCATTCCAGCCAGAGTAAAGAACAAAGAGACAAGACAACAATTTATCAAAATTCACATGAAGGGCTGTTAAATAAGGTGCCATCCATCTATTTGCTCTGTGCTAAAGAATTTGAAACACAGTGAGGAATTCAAAATTAATTCAAGACTGGAGCTACTAGGTCAGAGTTTTGGAAGTGATACAAAGAAGGTTTTATCCAGCTTCTTATCTGTGTTTGTCAGTTCATTATGTATCAAAGGTGCCTGGATTTCATAAGATAGTGACTCACTGACCCAAAGTGCAAGCAAACACAGAAACTGTACATAGAAGCCCTTTCTCCACCACTAGCTTTTGACAGACAAAGGTCATGCTCTTTTAGTTATTTTATTAAGACAAAGGCCATTTTTTCTGATAACCATATGGTTTGAAATTAGACTTTACCTAGAAGGTAAGCAATGGATCTGCCATGACTTTGCAGAACTTGGGTTTTCCTGTACTTCCACTGTGGAGCATTGCTTCATTCATTTATTTTGCAATTTCTAATTCTTAAGCATCAACTGCATTTTTGTAAAAAACTATGTTTTCCAAAAGCATTCAATGCTTTTTTCCACATTGATAAAACATGTTGAGGGAAGCAACTAGCATGTGACTTGATAATGAATATATTTTAGAAACTAAAATTGTCACAAAGAATTTCAGTGTTGCTGAAATCTTCTCCATGTGTGAATTCAGGTGTAGCTACTTGTAAATGCAAACAAAGGAAATTCCACAGGAAATAGAAAACTCTCTTTCAGCACAGCTACTTTGTCAGTTTCCTCATCATGGACCTTTCTGGAGGGTGTAAGAGCTTGATGAAAAGGTGTGATGAGGAACTATGCACTGCTGTCCCCAGATACCATCTGGGCATAGCTCACCAGCAGTCAGCATGATGCTGCACCACCCTAAAATTATTTTATCTTCATGAAAACATGAGTTCCTCAGTAGCCTCAGGTTGAAGACAGGGACATAAACATGACTTAAATCCAGGGGACTTCAGATCTGCCTCAAGATACATGATCAAGCCAGTCATAGTCCTTCATCGTAATATGTGCCTGCTAAATTGAATAAATGTTCTGCTGCCCCAATCCTCCTAAAAATAAAAAACCAAAAGCTCCTTGAGAGGGGTCATGTCCAGACTATGTCCCATCACAACCAACAGAGCAGATTTAGGCTTTTTTTCTAGAAAAGTTAGGGCAGCATTCTGATAAGCAGCACAGACTGCAAACATCAAGAGGCAAGCAGGATCTTGGTGAATTTTGGCTCCCTCCCACCCCCCAGTTTTGTTCAACTTGTTCCAGTTTAATTGCAGTCAGTATTTAATTGCAAAATAACATCTAGAAAAGCATGTACTAGTCTTGTGCTCCAAAGCACCCACATTTTTACAAATCCTTCACCTATTCTCATGTATCTCAGTCAACCATATGACTTATTTTGTGATTTATTTTTCAGGTGGTCACATAAACCCAGCCGTTTCATTAGCCATGTGCGTGACTGGAAGATTAAAATGGACCAAATTACCAATTTACATATTAGCACAACTCCTGGGAGCATTTGTTGGAGCAGCAGCTGTCTTTGGGATTTATTACGGTGAGTACACCTTAAACATGCTCACAGGACAAACTAGAGGTCAAGCAGTCTCCAATTTTTCATTGAATACCAAGCAGGCAGAGGACTCGGTTCACAAAGGGCTAATGGCAGGACTGAAGCTAAAGCCATAAAGAAGGAAGAAGAATAAAGAATCTGGAGGAGAAAAAAAAAGGCTCAAACATTGCAGGTATCCTACAACTTTTCTGAAACATTAATACTCCATCAAGCATTCTGAAATTTAGAAAAAATTATTCATGAGAAATCAGATACTCTGAGATCATGTATTTCTCAGTAAGGATTTTAAATTACCTAATAGCCAGGATACAGGACTATTCATCTTCCAAGCAAATTAGAAACATTAAAGCCCTGATCCAAGTGCCTGTAGGCAAGTATCACCAACATCGTTCATTGAGGTTACAGGATATGAAATCAAGTCCCTCCTGACTAAACTTCAGACCACCCTAGAAAGGTAGCTCTCCAAGGCAATGAACTCCAGGTTGAGTGATAAAGGGGTCATACTAGAATGGAAAAAAGGGGAAAAATAATTAAAAATTACCCCTTGAGGCTTGTCTCTTTTACATGGTGTGCCACAAAGTGAAAAAAACTTGGTAACACACTCCCTGATTTGATGAATCCACTCAGATCAGTTACTTCAATCACACACCCCAAAATCGTGCTCCTACTGTCTTAGCCCATCTCCTCCAAACCCTGTCTCCTATGGGCATTATGTCTGTAGTCAGTGCTGGGTCTGGATGCAAGTGAGAAAAAAGGAAAATGCCTGTTGTGTGTCAGAGATGTGCTCAGCACCAGTAGTAATCATGACTTTCATTAGAGATGGGAAGCTGCTTCTTTACTCACAAGTATCACCTAATCACTGGATCCATTTGTTACATATATCTGCCTATACAGATTTGAGTGCTCCATCTTATTCTAGCATTGCCAAGGCAGCAAATTATTCCCACACAGAAGTCATATTCTACTATTTAAAATATGTCTGAAATATATGAACATAGATATACATGTGTGTGCAATATACACAAATCTTTACTGTATATATAAAAACTAACTTAAATATGCTAAGACTGAAGTGTTGGGGTTAGCCTCTCCCCTCATATTTTGGATGACCTGTGTGGCAGTTGGGTGTAAAGCCCACACCGAGTGAAAAATTTAAACTCCTGTAGCCGAGGAGGTCTCTCAGGAGAGTTCACTCCCAGAAGTCACCACACAACTGTCAAATGCAACAGCAGTAACTCCTGGTAGCTGGGAATCCACAATAGTACAATCAGGATGCTGTGTATTTTGAGGGGGCATTATGCCAAATATAGCACCTGTTACAGAGTAATGCAACTGTGTTCAGAACAGTCTTTACAGTGAAGAGTTTGGAGCAATGAGCAGCAGAGAAAAGCCTTATTTTGAAAGCTGTGATAAGAACAAGTACTTCAGGGCACAGGAGGAGAGATGAGGCAGGAAGAGTATGATTAGTACATCACGTCAAATCCATTAGCTATTCTTCCAGAAATACTATCAGTGTCAGTTGGGAATATGAACTGCACAGACCTATCATGTATATTCTAGTCCTAGAAAACCTAATGTTTATGGAGAAGTGCAATCAGGTAATCTTTGTTTCCTATAGATGCCTTTATGGAGTATAGCAATGGAAGACTTGAGGTCACAGGACCTAATGCAACAGCACACATCTTTGCAACATATCCAGCTCCCTATCTGTCCCTCATAAATGGATTTGCAGATCAGGTAAGTACACTTCCTGTCTTGATTCTACAATTTAAACATACTGAAAACTGTAAAACCAAGCAGTAAAAAAATACGTATATATCTAACAGGTATGATGACTCTCACCATGTCATACATCACTGCCCAAGAGCAATGAGAATGCAATGCTGTTGGGGTGGGGGTTTACATTTTAGTCATATTTTACAAGCAAGATAATTTCAAGTTGTTCTTTCCACATGCATCATATTACTTGTTGCACATACATGGCTTGTATGTATTGCATTAAAGAGATTTTCCCCAGCATAAATCAGTGCTTCTCCATGAACTTTAGCAGAGCTATGTCCATTTACATCAAAATGCAGCCAAAATATCAAAATATTGTGGACCTGCTATTCCTTAAGTAATGCTTAAGCAGCCAGATTAACACACTGAACAACTGAGTTTTCTGCTACCATAAACCTCCTTCCTAACCTTCTCTTCACAAACGGATTTGCAATATTTGTTATTTTTCAAATGACTGAAACGGAGGAAAATCTCCACTGTGTTTCTAATCTGTATCTTCTAATCCCACATATCCAACAATGAAAACGAAGTTTCAGATCTTCTATTTACTTCTAATCAGTTTACCTGTCTTTTTCAGGCATACCTGAAATAACTACACTGCATAAGTAAGCTCTAAAAAACTAGGGATTGCTGGAGCACAGGAATTTCTTATGTAAGGGATTTGAAGATATTGAAAACTGGCTTCAAAAAAAATCTAAACACTGTACTGAAATTGTGTAAGAAAGACTTCTGATTTTTCCTTTGGATCAGTCAACAGACTTTCTCATGAGATCTTTTTGCCCATTTTAAGACAAGTAAAACCAGATTACAAAAATAATTTTTAAACCTCCCCAAACTTCAGATTCTTTAAATCAGTATGGGAATTTAATGTTTTGATTGCTGAACCATTTTGTTTTTCCCCTAAATTAATTATTAGCAAAATCAACATTTACAAAGCGTTTGATTTAAGCAGAGCAGCAGTACCATCAAATTAATTCCAAGAACATTTCCTTCAGCAGCTCTATTAGCATATTCAATATAGAGTTCATGTTACAGTTACACGTGCAACCTTAACTTAGTAATTCCTAAGTTTTCAGCTGCCCAGTTCTGACTTTGTAGACTTCACTTTTTTTCTTACATTATGCAATACCTGGATAAAAAGGTGCATATCTAGTCTAATTTATCAGTGTAAGGTATAGTCACATAAAATACTTTTATATCAAACATAACTGGTTGTATTGGCATAACAGAACGGCCCAAAATCAAGTACATTGAACTGTTAAATTGATAGGAAGAAGTGTGGAAACAAAGCATCAGACCTTACACAGGAGATGCCTTCTAAATCCTCTATTCTTTCTACACCAGGTTGTTGCATATTTTTTTTCCAGGTATCCTCAGCACATTTACTGACTTGTTCTTTCAGCACAGGTATCAAAACTTCTCATTACTCTGAAGCAGAGAAGCACTGGGTGCCAAATTTTGCTATTCCGTGTAGTGGGATAAATCTAAATACCACCTTTAAGCCACCACAATCCACAGCTGCTATGGCCCCTCTTCTCATTATTGGAAAGAATCTGCACATATTTATTCAATATTCTTTTCTTTGCATTGGCCAGGTGATGTCAACAGCTGTTCTTCTTCTGGCTATATTTGCTATTTTTGACACCAAAAATAACAGCGTACCAAAGGGCCTGGAGCCAATTGCAGTAGGAGTTCTTATAATTGTTCTTACTTGCTCCTTGGGAATGAACAGTGGCTGTGCCATGAACCCAGCCAGGGATCTAGGCCCAAGGCTCTTCACAGCCGTTGCAGGATGGGGGATGGATGTATTCACGTAAGTATGCCTGGATATGAAGTAAAATGCCCTTGGCTAAAATTGCTTTCTAGGAAGAATCCTGATTCAACATGGTACCAAGTCATACTTTATATGCATATAGGTAATTCTTTGCATACCAGAAGCAGCTATTCATGCACTTTAAGTCAGACATCTTCTAGAAACTGGGCCTTAAGAAGGATTTCCTGCTTCTAGGGCAAACGAAACATGCATTATCTCTAATACCAATCATAGTTTCGAGCAGACCCTTCCAAAAATATTAGAGATTCCTAGAGGTCACTGAAAATGTAAGAGTTCTTTCTTTTCTTGTACTGCAGCTTTCAGGAAAAAAATGGAACAGTGAGAGAGTTAGGCAGGAAAGTATTTATTGGGTACTATAAAAAAACACAGACATCGGATTGATTTAGCCTATTATTACTACTGAGTTATTGCAGAAATATACAACAATCTAAAAGCCTGACTTCCTGCCTTGGAGGGAAGGAGTAAATGAAAGAAAGCTTCCTTCATTTTCCCACATTTCAGAGCACTCTCAAATCCCTGTGCATGTGTGCACGCACGCACATGCAGTCTTGGCTGGCCAAATGCACAGCTAATGAGTTGCATATCAAATCCACAGCTTACACATATCCAGCCTAAGAGGCACTCTGGGATAGCTAAGTTAGAGTAATCTGTCATCAGGAGGTAGGTCTTTTGGTTTATTTTTGCACAGTTTGTTTTTCTAGTTATTTACAAGTAGGAATCCCCAGAAGTACTACAGACCACTAGAGAGCTCTGGTTAATAGAGATTTCATTTTAGCTACTTCACCAAGTACAAATAATCTGTATTTATTATTACTTCCATCTACACAAATCACATGCCTTAGCAGAGGAGAACAGCAGGAAAGGTTTTTTCATACAAAAAACTAGGCATGACATATAACCAAGTTCAAGGGAACAGGATACAACAGGAATATGTTCTCATCTATTTACTGCACAGATCCAGGTGGACATAGGAAGAACTGGAGCTCTAATAGGTACCTGGAAACTTTGGATTAGTTACAGGCCATGAAGAAAGTCTGAATCCTCTGGAAAGGCTAGGATCCTGAACTGCCTGATGCTTTGCTGGTGTTACATGTGCATAAGAAACTGGAAGTGCAGTTTCTGGAAGTAGCAACAGTTGACAGCTAAACACTGGATGTCTCAACTCACCTGGGATTCACAACCTTGAGGCAGGTGCTTAAGCTCTCTAGTAAGGCATGCCCAGGAACTGGCACCTAAGCATGAAACCTCCACAGTGACACAAGGGATGCACAGAGCATCAATTGAAGTGAGGATGGAAACACATCACAATGACCGAGTTACTCTCTGTCACACTCTGCCAGCAAGTATTGAGTGCTGCCTGCAGAGCAGACAGGGACTGCCAGGAAAGCCATACTTTGGAACAGATCAGATAGAAAAGGATGACAGTCTCTACACCCTGATCTCAACCAAATGCTCTAAACATTGAAATAATCAGTTCCCTCTGCCCTTCCAGTAAATTCTGGCTTTATCTTGTTCTCTCTATGGTACATGTACCCCAGCCAGTGCAACTGGCTTTGTCTAGGTTAAAAGCTCCTGTTAGAAGTTGTTGACCCACTGCAGCTGGAAAGGGTGTCTGTCTGGCACCCTAGAGAGAGCACCACTTCACATGAAACAGGCATGGTCAGAACTGTAGCCTGCTCCTGCAAACTGCTCTTCTACCTTTTGGGAGCAGCTGTCACCAATGACAACTGTGCCATCAGTAAAGACAACTGCTCACTTTAAAGACCAAAATGTTACAAATTATTTGTCCTAAAACCATGGAGATAAACAGGAATCTCTCTTAAGCACGTTTAATATTCTAATAAGCTTAAGACAAGTTTTGGGTACTGAAGTTTTGTGTGTAGTGAGAAAAAAGTCAGAGCTTGGGTACAAATACCAGAAGTCTGGATTTTGACAAGCGTAACACAGCATGAAGTAGCAACGAGAAAGTGAGAAACAGCTCTAAAGAAGATTTCGCAGCAGCATTTGAAGCATGTTTCAGCCTTGGGTCGTTGCGGGGTCCGATGCACCTCTGCCGAGGCGGCTGTGAGTGGCAGTGGCAGCAGCAATGACAGGGAATCTGCCGTGCTCCCTCCCAGCGCTCCTCTGCCGCGGTAACGCTGACACCTCGTGGCTGCCAGCCCCGGGGACAAGTCGCCCGGACTAAACTAAACTGCATTTTGGAAAGGGTCAGGAGACACAGCTCTTGTCTGCACAGGGTTTTGGATGGCAAGTCTCTTGCATTCTTGACGGAGTATGGAACAGTAGCCAGACAGCTTCCACACAGCTGAACACCTGAATAATCCTAGCATGTCTTGTAGGAAACAGGGTTATCTCACCATCCCGCAGCTGCTGGCTACAAGAGAAATGTATTTGCAAGTCTAAAATGGCCAAAGTTCCTAGACCACTGCAGTTTCCTGGACATTTTTGCAGTTAACTCCCCTTGCCAGGCCTGTGCCTATGCCTCCTCCCACTTGCTCTGCCCCACAGCAAACACACCTGATTATGATAAAAGACATAGCTGGATGTTTTCCTGCTAACTTGGCAGCAAAGCTGTAAGTCAGGCAAAGGTAGGGCATAAGGGAACTCAGGTTACTTCAGTGAAGCTGCTTCTGCTTGTCACAGAGTTTGTGCTCCTGTGTCAATGAAGGAGGATTGAGTGTCATGGAAACTCATAACTCAACTGAGTCCTGATCTCATTTCAGCTTTGGCAACACCCTCTATAAAGACTTCACATCCATTATGTTAGCAGAGGGTGTCTGTCATGGTTTGATTCAGGTTAACAACAATGCTCTCGATCCCCTTCCCCTTCCACCCAGCTGGCTGAAGTGCAGCTGACAGCAGCTGCTGCAAATACAGGCCATGATTTGAAGAAGGTCATGCAGTAGCCAACTAGGCACATATCAGTTCATGGAACAAGCCCAGAAAGAAACCTGCCAAGAAACACCTTAATTATATGCCCATGAACAAAGGCAGGCACACACAAAGGAATACACACAAGTACTTGATAAAAACTTTGTTGTGCTGATTAATTCAATAAAACCCTAGTCCATGCTTGTTCCAGAAATTCATGGGCTCAATCGACATTCATGACTGAACAACAGACAGATCTGTAAACTCAGTAGAACAGTATCAGGAGTTATTTTATATCTTCAGGGCAAGACCTAACTAATTCCAAAGGCAAAAACATACACAATGAAAGCATTTCTGAATAAGGAATATTATCATCAATAGGGCACTGTGGGATCAGCCCTGTTCCATTCCTGTGTTGTGATGTAACTACAAGTTCACTTGAGCGTAAATCTATACAACTGAGTGTTGAATAATAATCCTTACAGTTGAAAAGTTCCCCTGGCAGCTTCTTGCAAAGTTCCTCTCACATATTAATTTGTCCATTTGTATTTCTGGGAGGAAAAAAAAAGTTACTCCTCTTATTTTCAATATGCATGGAATTGAGGTGTCTGGGTTTTCACTGCAGACTGATGTATTCTGTTAATAAACCCTGTCTTGAATCAAACACCTTCATCTGCCAGTAAATAAAGTCTGTGCTCTGAAACCAATACTCAGTGATACACTGTCAGAATGGGGACCCCCAGGAAAGGGAGAACAATTCTACAAGCCCAAGCCTCCTGCATAAAGCAGCTGCTGTTGTTTTATGCCATTTCATGGTGAACTGGTTTCTTTAAAAATGTTCATAAATCTACATATTTAAAATGAAATCCAAGTAACTGTACCAAGTGAATGTGAACATTTTAAAGGAGCCAATTTGTTGGACTTCCTTACTGAACATAGCAATTCTAAAAAAGATAAAGTTTTAGGTGTATAAACTTTTAACTGCTTATTTACTTCTTACTGAAAGGTTCTGCATTATAAACTTAGACATAAGACACTACATCGTGAAATTTGAATCTTCACCACTCTAGTCAAATATAACCCACTTTACATTCACCATGATTTTTATTACATTCCTTGAGGCAAATATACTAAAAATCAAGTATAATCTATTGTACTTGTCAAGAACATCACCGTATCTACTGTTGCAGGCCTAAACCTGCAAATCTCCATGCAGATGAGACAACTCATTTTTGCAACATATATTTGCATGAATCACTCCTGAAAACCTATTCACGAGCATCTGGCAGTAGCATCAGTGAAGATTGCTGTGCACTAAATACATCCTAGTTCACTTCATTGTAAATCAATGAAGCCCATTTTCCACAAGGGAGAAGCTATCCCCTGCCCCCAAAACTGACATGCAGTCAAGAGACCTTGTTTTCTAAGGTGCAAGTAAAGCATGTAAGCTAACATGCCTGGTAGTTGTTACTTAGCATTTCAGTCACAATATAAAGACAAAATAGAAAGTGCTACAGTACAGCTAGTGTCACACCACCATACTTGTTCACTGCCAAATGTAATGTAAGGTGTTCAAAAGAGTAACAAATAATAATAATTCTTAGGGGCGTTTTTTTGTGTGTGTTTTTGTTTTTTGTTTTGTTTTGTCTTACAGGGCTGGGAATAACTGGTGGTGGGTCCCTGTTGTTGCACCTATGCTGGGAGGTGTACTTGGAGCAATGACCTATATTGTTCTTATTGAAATTCATCATTCAGATACTCAGCCAGGAGACGAAAATGATGTGTATGACAAATACGAATTGACCAATGTGGAGTAAGAAGTGAAGAATTTTCTCATTTTGTTGTGTAGCTTTTATGCAAATAATCGTTTGGACCATGTTACAAAACCTGTATGCTTCAAGCAGAAATTCACATTTCTAGACAAAAAAAAATCTATATAGAAGACAAGTTCAAAACTGATCTCTTTTCATGAAACATCAGGCTGCTCACATTCCAAACTTGGAACTTGGAGGTGGAAATGGTAAATTGTTCTTTTCATATGGCTTTCAGATCCATCTCCTAGATTAAGTTGCAGTGAGATGAGGTACTGACCTGTTAATACAACACATATGGTGCTAATCATGCTGCCTAATTAACTGAAAAAGATGAGGTATTGTTACAAAACAGCATGCATAGGTAGTTAATTGATTCAGTGCTGAATTAATGTGCCAGAGCACCGCTCACTTCTTACAGCCATTACTTAAGAAAGGATCACCTGAAAATTAAACACAATACCTGCATTGTCAGAGTGTAAACTGAAGTAGTTTTAACTTATTAAATCTTTATGGAGCCACAAATTGATTGGCAAGTAATCAACTCCTCAGTGATGAGGTTTAGTAACACAGAATACAATCACAGAAGGGAAAAACCATGTGCTATAAGATCAACACCAAAAAGACAAAGCTGTACTTCTGCACAGGTTTTTTATACAATTATATTCTGTTATTTTAAAACAATTTTCTTGACTTTTATGCAACCTGATATTAAAATCCTAACCTAATATTAATCTGAATCTTTTCCACTGTGCTTTCTGGACAAAATTCATTCCTGTGGAGTTGGGCCAGCAACAGAGGCTTCTGCTGTGCAGAGGTCAGCACAAAGCCTATGTACATATAAGCTTTAAAAGAGGCCTTCTGCTGTTGATCTACATGGTGGGATTTCATCTGCTTTGTGGGAGTGATTTTTATTTTGGTAGCAGTAATTAAAACTAGATACTGGTCTCAGACCCAGTCCTAGATTTGAATTCCCCAAGGAAGACCATCTCCACATCAGAGCTCTAAGGCATTGATTCTCTTGCCAAAGCAAAGTGGTTGGACATATACCACTTCTTAAATATCCAGCACGGAAAAATGAAATTATTTCTGCTTAGTCATTGTGAATTAAATGTATCCAATTAAATCAAAGTTAATTTCTAGTACATACACATATATATGGTTGGTGGTGGTGACCATGAATAAATAGACATCCTATTCAGTGATGCTCCTGAGCTATTTTCACAACAAAATGTCAGGGTACCAGAAGAGCACCCTACAATGAGAGCACCCTTCGTAGGGTGCTCTTCCTTTTGGGTTCCTACAATTCTGCTCCCTACAATTTCACAGTATTTTCTGATGTCAATTCTGAAGGGTCCATGAGGGACCCTTCACGTTGCTAGTAGTATTCCTGTGCACTTTGGTGAGTTATCCACAGAAGTGGTTTGGAAAATACTGTGGTCAAAATCTGCCTCAGCATTTGGGCAGATCAGGCCTGTGTCACTGCATGGCTTTATCACACTCCCTTGTGTGCCACACTGAGGTCATGGCAGCAATGGGATAGAACAAGCAGATAAGGCAAAGCTTTGCTTGCTGCAGCTGTAAATCAGATGATGCTGTATAATCAAGAAAGTATAAGTCTAGTTATGTTACTAAAGAAAACTTGCAGAACTGTACAGAACTCAGGCTGCCCAGAGACCATATTAACCCTGTGCAAAATGCTTGTTTGCTTCAGCATTTCTCTGCTGCGAGTTAAAAACTGATATAGCTACACCCATCCACAAATGAGTGCATTGTATCGTTATCTGGAGAGCTGCAGTAACAAGAAAGGAGAGTTTACAGAATCAGTCCTCAACCTAAGCAGAAACAAGTACAGGAGAATCAAGAGTAGTATGTGGAAATTGTTCCTAATAACAATACCTGTAGACCTTAGATTGGCAGCACAGACAAGCTAGCTCATCTGTCCTGTATATTGATAAATTGCACTACATAAAACAAGATGATGTGTAAAAGCAATTTCAGACTGGGCCTTCTTTTGCCCCCCTTGGTGTGTATCTGGCAGGAACAATCCTAGGTGGCTAGCAACCATCTCTGGGTGTAAAGGGATTACACAGCAGGAGCAGCCAGAGTGTTGCCCTCATGTCTGAAAGGCAGTTACTCTTCCACCAAAAATGAAATATCTGTGCAGAACATGAAAATAGATAGCCAATTAACCAGAACTAACCAGTTTTGTCCAAAAGAGTAGGGGCGGATGGCCACTTACAGTGCTAGAACTCTGCATAATCTGAAGGCTTCATATGCCCTGCAATATTGCTTCCTTTAATACACCATAGAAAACATGGGGAAAAGCAGAACACAGGTCAGGAATGAGAAAGGGACAATTTATTTATACAACCTGCTAAGTGACCAGCCCACACTTGCTGTCCATCTGTGCATATGAAGCTATATGAAGTCGTACATTTTTTCAAAATCCTTCTGATCATAACAGGTCCTACCTGAAAATGAACATGAAATGGTTTGTCCTATTGATGCCATTCCTATGCACTGAATTCCTGCATAAGTGATATTTGCTTGTCTAAAGCCATCAACATGTGAATCATAAGCAGTGACACACCAGTGTGATAACAGCAATAACAAGATGTTGTCAATTCTTTATTTGCTTAAAGAACTTATTTTTAAACTTTAATCGTTGAATATGTTTGTAAATTCTTTGAAGATGCATGGTACTAATACCATGATTCTTACTGACTTCACAAACTCCAGAATTTCATTCAGGCATTATAGCCCTGTCTCAAATTAGACCTAATTTACATTAATACATATAAGGATGAATTTCTGCTTTATGGAAAAAACTCAGTTGAGTCTTAAATACAGAGACATGACCAGTGTCTCCATAATGTAATGGGAACAATATTAACAATCTTATGCCATAAGCTTCTGTAGACATAATTTGTTTTGTGCAAAACAACAAGGTATTTTTACTTTGCATAAAGTATGTAATTTTCTAATATCAACTGATATTCAGTAGTTGCACTCAAGTTGAATTAATGTAATACAGTCAGCAATAGAAACAGTTTTTTTCCAGCTGTAAGATGCTCCAGTTAATGAATTAATAGCAATCAGGTTGGACTGCTTTAATGTTTAAAACATTATTTTTCATAGCATCAAGCTTTCCAAGTCTGGGTTTGTTCTTTTTCTATTTTTGGGCAATGTGTTCTGTAGAGCTAAACTTAGTACTGAAGAAATTTGGAGACTGATCCTGCAAATAGTACTGGGTCAAACGTTGGCTACTGCAAGTTGTTTCATAGAATCCAGCAGAATTATTCACAACAGGAGGCAATGCAGACAAGGGTAAATGCTCAGAGAATTGAGCTCAGGGTATAGTGGAAACTGTATTTTCTTGTAGCTTTGATTGTGGATCTGGATTAATGTGTTGTGGTTCAAAATAAATACAGTCAATCCCTAATAAATGCATTCCAGTGCTATTTTTATTTTAATAAAAAAAAAATCTCCCCTCTGGCACCTAAGGACATACTAAGAAATAAATAGCTGCCTATTATGACCTACAATGTTTTATAGCCCTGTGCTGGAAGAATACATTGACTAACAAGCTCTATTCCCAGAGTGCAGACCCTGTGGCAGATTTGGTGGGTCAGAAGCTGTGCCACAGCACAGAAATGCTCACATGAGTAATGGCCACTGCTGAGCCAAGAGACACCCCTGCAACGAGGGCCAGGTCCCTCTCCTCTGGACCTTCTGTTCCTGTCTGCAACCTTCCTAGGGATGCTTTCTGCCACTGCTTTCCCACCAGTGGAACACTAGCCAAAACCTAGGAGGGATATTTGCTTAAGTCTCTCTTCAGAGACTGCTTTTAAGGCATGCACACAGGACATCAGATTTGGCCTACAGTGTCTACAAAATGCCTCAAGCTAATTTATCTATCTGCTTCTATACAGATTTGTAACAGGGACATGCTTTGCTCATTTCATTTTAAAAAAAGCACACGAAAACCCGTTGTATAGGGGAAGAGGGAAAGATTAGGAGCTTCAAATTTACTCAGGGAGCCACAAAAACACTCCACACCAAAACAACAATCTGAAGTGGCAGCAGGCATTTTATCCTCCATCCATCCCAATGACCCTCACCTTCCCATCAATCTGATTTTCTGTTCTTCTTCCTTTCTCTTGCCGAGCGCTGTGCTCTGTCTCTGTAAAGTACATCTCCAGAGATTTCAATACAACATGCTTTTCTCAGTTACTTATGAATCTTAGAAAGTTCTCATGAGAGAAAGTTCTAGTTTCACCTCACATACTTGGGTTTTTGGCAGTTGCTTGCATTTTTTCCCCCCACTGTTCCCACCAAACAACCTTGTGCTGGAAAATACAACAATTAACTGTAACATCCAGTAACAGCTGCTCATTTTCTCTTTAGTGCAACTGTTATTGCATAATAGATTACTTTTTTCAAACACATAATATTTTTAAAGCCTTCCTTTTTCTAACCACTATTAAAAATAGTGCATGATCATCTAGAAAAAAAACATTCCATGCACATCAATTTAGATTCTTATATTCTATTTTGCACTTACAACTTGCTAAAAAAACCCAGATAATTATTGTACTGAGTGTTAATGTCTTTCTATTTGCACACCCTAATGGTAGTCTCAGAGGAGAAACTACTAAATACTTTTAGACCTTGTGTTTCTCTGTATATTTCAATAAATATTAAAAAAATCCATATATTAACCTATACATAACATTTTTTCTTTGTTGACCACATCTTCCTTTAAAAGCTGTTACTAAAATAGGTAATATGAATGGTATGGTACCTTAAAGGAGCAATGATCAAGCTTTCTGGTTGGGTGACCCAGGTAGCCCCTTTTCCATGACAGAGGAGGCCAGACTAAAATGGTCCTTCTCTGACCTACCTAGGGACTGAGCAGTTTGTTTTAAAGTATTAGAAACCAAGCTTTCACTTCATATCCCAAACATTGCTCCAACTGTCTAGAAATTGAGATTATGGATCCTACTACATGTTATACTAATAAATAAAACAATAATGAAAAGAAAGAAAACTTCTAAGACTGGTGAAACAAAACAGGCCCTTTTGGACAGGGGTCAGCCAAAA